TATACTGATCAACCAGTTATCTATGCTCAAATGATCAACCAGTTGTCTATTATTTTACTCTGCCTAACGCCAGATTATTTTACTGTCTAACACTAGACTATTTACCCATCAGGAGGAGAGTGCTGACACTCAAATACTCAATGAGTTAAAAAACATTGAAAGAAAATGTTTAGTAGAAGCTGCAAAATTGTTTATTGGTGTCTGGTGTAATACTGACATTTCTTTTATTTGTAAGGATAGAGCTGGGGAGCTTCTAATGGTACAGTCTTAGCCCTACCCCAGTTTTTCTGTACTGCATGTGTTTTTGTCACTTCCCTGATTATACCATAAGTATTGTATCCCATGCATGGACACCATCTTATCAATTATGCAGTTTTTTGACAATCTACCGTAAACCTCCACCTAAAAGCACTGGGCTTATATTCTTTCGTAAGCGATTTTTGATGGGCTTACACAAGGGGGGCTTATACATGGGAGGGGGGGCTTATATTCGGAGGTTTATGGTATGTATGGTTTTCATGATTTTCAGTGTATAGTCTTCCCTTGCTCATCACAAATTAATAAAAAGATCACACACTACATAATTGATGTTGATAAAATTTATTTATTTTAAAATTGAAAAAATACTAACATAATATTACTGTACTTAAAGATAATTAAAATGTTTTTAAAAATAAAATCTTATGTGCACAATTTTAAAATGTTGCACACATTCATTTCACTAGAAACACGGATGCTATATGATAAAGTATATGAAAGGTGATGCTTTTGCTCTAGCTTTATGATGTATTAAAACAACTGGAGGTATTACATAATTGGTAAACCTCTTCAATCGTAATCATTTGCATGATTTCAATGAATGCTTTATCTTCATCAAATGTCCATTTATGAAGTTTTACTGGGGATTTCTTTGGAGGAGTCGGTTTAATCTTTCTGATAGGAAACTACAAAACAAACAGCAAAAGTGAGAGGGGCAATCTCAGTGCCAGCACAATTAGACAGCAACAAAGAAACTCATGGATTTTTACCAGGATTGTGGGCATGCTTCTCCAGGAAATTTGTGTACTATAGGTTTTCTGGAATGCCACTCCCAGCATTGAAAAATAATATTGGCGTACAGGTGGATAGAAATTGCCCAACATTGTCATGACTTTATTTAAAGATGAACAAGAGGTATAAAATAGAAGGAATTGTCTATATACTGTTTAAAGTCAATCTTAAAACAATTGCCTAATATTTTTTTAAAGCAGAATTCTGCCCAACTAAACACTGACTGGAGGGGTTGCAACCCCCAGCCTCGTATGCCTATGGACAGAATTTCTCCCAGGCAAAAAAGCATTAAAATACAATGTTACTATATTGTCCCATTAAAAATATACAATGTTTTAGTGTGGTCAAACTGGTATACTGTATTTTATGTTTGTAAAAACCTTGATGTTGAATTTTTCAAACGAGAACTTCTGCGTCTTTTATTATTTAATAGGTTTCCCTGGGGTATCACCTTCAGAAGTATATACCCGTTTAAAATATATAGCAGTATCATTTCCAGTTTTACTCCAAAATAGCCGAATTATATAATAAAATGAAAAAATACAGTCAGGGCAGGTAAACATAAGCATATCTAACCTTAAAAATTGCATTAAACTTAAAATATGTACGAACAAAAATGTGTATGTTTCAAAATTATCATGAAAAATAGTGATTAGTATCATTAGTACAATAATTTCCTTCGCGCCATGATGATTATCAGGCGGTCTATTCCCGCCATCGGCGATAGAATATAGCGAAAGTACCCCATTTTCAAACCGCGATTACTTGTCCGGTTTAGTGGAGCAAACTCATGTTTTAAAGTAACAGTAGAAAGAAAAAATCTTCCCGAATTCGATGACGTGTTTTGTTTTTATTTTCCTCAAAAAAAAGTGAGTTTGCTTCTGCATTATATCAAGGTCATTTTATTGGCGTGTCCACTGACCCGAATCAAGCATAATTACAATACGTAATTAACATAACTAAAAAGCAATTCCTGTACCAAACAAGTCAAAAATAGTTTAATTAGGGTCTTAAATAATACAAATATAAAAACATACCTTCGAAAAAACGAGATAAACGTTGCCAAAATCGCAATGTATTTCAACAACTTTTCGCCAAACGTTCGTTGAAAATCGTAATTGTGAATAATAATTAGACGCAATGCATTGTGGGAAGACCCTCATTCCTCCTCTGGGTTTCGGGTGAATTTGGTCTCCTTCTCCATGGATAGTCTAGCCTGCGAACAGGCCCTGGGTTGCGGGCGGCGCGAAGAATAGAGGGCCTGCACGGATGATAGGTTTTCTTGGTAGTGGCGTTCGTATAGAAACGCAGGCTTCTGATTGGCTTACACTCGTTGACAAAATTACTAAAAATAGCAAATGTCAACAACAGCATTTTGAAGAATTTGAACTTTATCATTTTAATATTATATATTATAGGACTATCGAACAAATAAAACTAGAAATGGAAACCAAAAGCAATAGCAAAGCATCACAGCAAAAAAGTCTATCATAAATGACTTGAATCTATCGCTTAAATCCAATATACGAAACTATAACAGTATTCTGAACTTCGTCTTCGGATTGACATCAGACCATAGTATAGTACATTTTGAGGTCGTCGTGGCTTCACGGATTATTCTCATTAGTGAGCAAGTCAGCAAGCGAAGGCATACAAAAGATACCCAAATATGTACGAATAACTATATTGTCGATCCTCGCTGGCATGTCATTTAGATAAATATATATCGTACATTAAACGTTGTACTGTTTACTGTATATTAACTGCTGACAATTTCGTCGTCGATACGGCTTCCACTATTGGCACCCTCGTGATTTCGAAGAAATTAATAAATACATGCTCATTTATCATTTATTTAGACCACAGTTAGTAAAATTTTAAACGTATTCGGTATTCCAAATCCCAATCTATCTGACCGTATTTTAGTAATAGCTTCAAAATATTCAGAACATTGTTCTTTCAGTCGCACATAGTACAAGTATTACTGTACATTCAAAGCAAATGGTAGTTTATTCGGCTTTATATTTGTATGTGTATTGATATCTATTTAATATTTGAAGAATTCTATATTTTTCCGAGTAATATATTGTGCGGCCCGCTAATGCTTTGTATTATTATTGTTCATGTTGCACAATGTACACGCCTTGCGTCAATTTGACAGTTGACAGTTTATTTATCGCAGTCGACGCTGATTGGTTAGCGTTTAGCAGATGCGAAAAGGGGATGAATGAATAAAACGCATGGTTCCGTGCAGGCTCACCTTTCTCCCAGTGAGCCTGTTCGCAGGCTATGGATAGTCGCAAAATGGAAATTCCCACTGATCTATATACGAAGCAATACGTGCATACATTTTCGCTATTTTGACAATCGTAAAGTCTTCGTAAGTGTATAAAGTGAACGTCAAATTGTTCTTTCAATCACGCTTTTTCTTCTGGGGGCTTTTTGAAAGAAATCCATCAAGAATATACAGAATTATGTCGACGTTTCACTATCGAGGAGTGGAATAGATTCCGAGGTGGATTAACTGACAATAACTGTGTTATTTATTAGTCGAACCGTTATTTCTGAACGTTTATATTTTTGTTTTGTGAAGTTTTACATCTATATACGCTTTAATATGGCTTATAGTCCTGGTTGCTCCAATAGTCTGCATAAAAATCGTATTGGAACTGTCATTTGCATGCTAGCTCTATTTTCAAGAAGGCTCAAATGTTGGCTGTTTTGAAGTGACACACGAGGTACAGGCGGTGTGCGCAATACGACCGCAAAGCAGTATGGGAGCACAATTTACAAATTTTGTGAAGGAATGTTAATTCACCTTCAGTTATGGGTAAGTTTAGCATTTATTTTATTCTTATTTCCTCTCATTTTGATTACGTTTTGTATTATTATATCGAAAAGGAGTGTTTGCTGTTAATGTGTGCCTAAAATCATTCACGAAAACTTGATTGTGTCGAAAGATATAGCCGATTGAACTGAACCCATATTTAGCATGTTTCGACGTGGTGTTTGAGTAGCGTTTTTATATTGCCAGAATATCCTTACACGATTAGAAATCAATAGCATTTCCTTTGTATACTTGTTTTTTAAAGCATAAACTATCCAAAAATCACATCGCACCTCGTACGGTTTGTCTGCAATTTTTGAATTGATAATGCCCATTTTAACAGGTAAATGATACAGGGTCATTCCATTTATTATCCGCACCCCCCCTATGGATGAGCGGATTCCTACCGGTCAGATATTAGGACTTAGGGGATTCCTACTGGTCAGATATTGGGAATTAACAGATTCCTTTGGCCCGATTCCTACCGGTCAGATATTGCCGTCAAGGTGTAGCATACTATATTGCCAAATATTTATTATGAGAATCATAATAATTTCATTTATTATTCTCACCCCCCCCCCCCGGTCTGACATTGGGAATTAGCAGATTCCTACCGGTGAGATATTGGCAATTAGCAGATTCCTACCAGTGAGATATTGGCAATTAGCAGCATTCCTAGGGTTTAGATTGATACTGTCGATTCCAACAGGGTACTTCTCTGAAATCCGATTCCTACAGGTAACATTTTTACCAGAGCTCATCCATAGGGGGGGTGCGGATAATAAATGGAATGACCCACATTGACACCGTAAACAAAATGGCTACCAAGAGACTCTTCGAGCTGTCAACTGGCGACAGTCCAGGGAAGCCAAAGCCCAAGTTGGCTTTACGTGAAAGTAGTTCGAGGAAGAGCCTTTTCCAAACAATTTCTCAAAGTTCTGTGTCAGCAGGAATGAAAAACCAGTGTCATGGACTAAACAAGAAACTTGTATGCTATTTATAAATAAATACAGTATATATGTCTGTATTGGAAAGATCCCTGGAACGATAAATGGCCAACAACCAAAGATAAAGAGGATGTGCCCAAGCAGTAAAAATGCATGTAAATCCCAACGATCAGGTATGGTATATTCGAATCATTGATTTAAATTAAATCAACTAACCGAGCATTGAGTGCTAGTGCCCCTCCTTGACAAGTAAAATCGGAGTAAAATAATAAAGAAGGGCACATTAGGATGGAATGTAATTTAACGGATTAAACTCATAATATAATTTCAGGCTGAACACATTTGCAGGCTGAAACATTTGTAAACAACAAATGCAAATTGAGTTGACTGCATCTTTAAACAATAAGCTCCCACACAATGTTGTGATTAAATTCGACTGATAAATGCCATTTATATATTCTTATATTTCATTAATTAAAGCAAAATATTTTAATTGTTCTAGGAGTTTCATGTAGAACCCGAGTCCTAAAAACCTTGGCGAAGAATGTGGTACATTGAGTGATGCAGAAAAAGATTTTGAAATTGACTATGTACATGATTCTGTTGGCTCAGCTATTCCTGTGCCATCAAGTCCTGCTGCTGTGTTCAATTTTAGTGATAATCTCTCACCAA